CCCGCCGAGCTGGGGGGTGGGGGCCGCGCTGCGGACCCCGCCGGACGTGGGCAGAACTTGCTGCTGGCAGGTCGAAGTTATGAGAAAGGTGGCTCTCCGGGCGCAGGGCTGACCGGGGGCGCGCAGGGGTCGAGGGGCTGGTTCTGGGCCTAGAAATGTGTGGAGCCGCGTGGACAGCGCCCCTGGCAGGAGCGCGCCTGCAGCGAGGGTCCGAGAGCGGGCGAGGTGGGCCGTGGGACGGACCTGGCCTCCCAGAGGGGGGTCTTCCGAGGGCCCCTGCAGAGCCAGGGGATGGGCCGGGCTGAGCCCAAGGGGACAGATCGCCCCTTAGGTCCAGCCCCAGCCCGAGCCCGGAGACCCCGACCCTCAGCCGCCTGGGAGGGAAGGGAGGCTACTCTCTGAATTCCGGGCCTCATCGAGATTTATTGAAGCTGGGGTTTTTAAAAAAAAAAAAAAAAAAGTGCTTCAGATGATTTTTTCCCATTTTCTCAGATTTCAAAGGCTCCCTGCAGTGCGGATGCCTAATTAATGGTGAAATTCAACTAAATCTAATTATGCAGTAATTTTAAAGCAGTTAGTGCTGGGCGTTGGTTTGTAATAGGACCCCAGTTTTTTAAAGTTTGCTTACTATGTGGATTCAGGGGAAAGCCATCTTTTGTAGTTCTGCTGGGTGAGCCCCAGGGCGGAGAACTGCCCCTCTCACCTCTATCTGCACCCCCACTCCTATCCCCCCTTTCTCTCTCTCTCTCTCTGCACCCCCCTCAGCTCAGGCTGAAAAGCTAAGCCAGGTGCCTGCTCAGCCAGGAGACCCGGCTTCATAAACCGACTGGGGAAAGGGCCTTCCCTTCAAGGATTTCCCATCAGGACACAAAGGGGCTGGGGATCTGCCCTCCTGGATGAGTCTGTGGACACCCGAAAAACCGGGCAGGGACTGTCGTCTCTAATAGAGAACAGATTTCCTCCGCGCAACATCCATTGTCATTAAGGCCAAAAGCTGACGCTCGGGGTTATAAATCTTATCGCTCTTCTGATAACACACTTGTAATAAGTGAGCGTCCAATTCAAAGCGAATTGTAAAACTGCCTCATTTAATACGGCATCTGTGTCGTTAAAACTTTTATTTATTATTATTATTATATATTTTTTTACTTCCCGCGCGTCCTGCAGGCCTG